GCAGACAGCCTGGACCCGCAGTGAGACCCTGGGTGGGCTCAGATGGTGGTGGGGAGGGGGGAGCCAGGGCTGGGGTGGTAGGAAGGTGCTTCAACATCACCTTCTCCTCTTCTCACCTTTGCTGGGTATTGGGCAGCTCAGCTGGTGGGGCAGAACCTTTTCCTTACCCTGATTTTGAAGTTTAACGCTACCATAAGCCATGGCAGTGTGTTTTATAACATCCAGCATTTTCCCATCTGGCCCTTTCCAAGCTGCTCATTCCACCCGGAAAGCAGAAAGCATTACAAAAAAAATGTGACGAGCATAAGCGAAAAGGCAAACCTGTCTGCGTTGTCGCTTCCTACGGCTGTCCCCACCTCCCCTGAGGTTCCCTGCAACCAGCAGCACAACCTCACGGAGCAGCCCCGCTCCATGGGCACAACCAGGGAAGATGCAGCCACACTATCAGGCTCACTCTGGGTGAGCGAACGGCATCTTCTCCAGCGGCGGGAAGCAATTTGCCCACTAACCAGGCCCGGATTGCACTGAATCAGAGAAAACGACACAAGGGCAAGGGCATGTTGTGTGCTGGCCTGGTGGCAGGTAGTGAGGTTAATTACTCTGCTCGGTTTTAGGCCATTGTGCACTTCATGGAGGGGGGATGGTGGGGGGAACAAAGCCGTCTGGTTTGTGGAAGAGAAAAGCTTGCTCCTTTAATCTGTTTGAAAGCTTTTGGTACATCAAAGGCCTGGCAAGCAGAGATATCTCTGATATCTAATTAGTGTGTACAGTTGCAAACATTTTGATAAAGACCTTTGTGAAAGAGCTATTCTGGAGAGGCAAAGAAGGGTCACGGGTTAGGCACTAGCAAAGAAACAAAACCCCAAAAAAGCAGGATGAGGACCGGGCAGATGTCACATGGCTCCGTAACCCACCCAGCAGCACCCCCAGCCCTGGGGATGCTCACCACACACAGTGGAAGAGCTGCCCCCGCAGCAAAGCCCAAGCAGGGGTGACAAGGAAGGCCCAGGGCACCACCAAAGACATGGGAATAGGCCAGACCGGGGAAAAGTATTCCCCACCGTGGACACAGCCTGGGTAGGGCTCCCTGGGAGGAAGGGGATGATGGTTGTGAAAACCAGGGAAGTCCAGATCAGCTGTCACCTCTCAAAGAGAAAACTCAGCTAGAGCCATGGGCAGCTGGGGTTGAAAATATATATTATTACCACACAAAATCCTAAACAAACGAAGAACAAAATTGGATAAAGATCAGGAAAGAAAGTTGCAGGGAACTGTGTCCAAATGCTCAGAGAGGAAGGAACAGGAGGTCCTCTTCTGGCATCGCTGCCTTGCGGTAACTCCCAAAGGACACATCAAAAAGCGAGGAGGGGAGTGTTTCTGAGATGAGAAAGTAAGAGGGTTAGAAACAGAGTCTAGCTAGAAGTTGAAAATATTTTAATTTCTAGACGAAGTGAGGAAAAAGCAACATAATGGCAGTACACAAAATAACGAACAGCACAAAGAAAGTACATATAAGTACCCCTATTTACACTTTTCACATAAAAAGAGAACAAAGGGACAGTCAATAAACCCGAATGGCAGCACACGTACAAGGATAAACAAAATACTGTTGTTCTAATGCACTCTGCACAATCACCCGGGGAGCTCACTGTTCCAAAATATCTCTAAAATCGCAGATGTAGACGCAAGAAAGAGACAGGATTGTACCTGAAAGAGAAGAACATTTGTGGTTATATTTGCTATATGTGAGTTACATTAGCAATGAGCAATAATATGGGGTTTTAGGAGAGAAATTCTCATACAAATAAGAATAAATGGGAGGAGGGCAGATATCCCCATGGGCAGATCAGTCTAAAAATTGCCTTCTAAGGAATGTCATGTTCCTTCTTCCTCTGAAGCATTTACATTGGCTGTTGGCAGCGATCACCAACTGGAGAAGACAAACTGCTTCTCCTGCTCCCCTCTGGCTCCCTCCTGCAGCCAGGCCAGAGCACCTTCCCATCCACTCTGCATTGCCCAGAGATGGGGTTTTTCACCTTCCCTCCCTGTGGTCACCTTGCCAGTGGAGCACCCAGCAGGGCCAGCCCAGCACGCTGCTGCCATCAGCCTCACTCCCATCATAGTTTTGGGGTCTGTGACTTCAGGGCTATCAAATAGCACCATCCGAAAGCCTAAAGGCAGTTCCCCAGGCTGGGGTGCAGCTGCGGTGGGTGGGGGCTGCCTAGGAAAAGGCAGCTGAGTCCCAGCTTGCTCGTTCCTTGTAGCCAAGAAACATTTCATACCCTCAGCCATATGTGACTGGGAGAGGTAAAAATAATTTTGTCCTTTTTTTTTTTTCATTGGCATGCAGTGATATCTCTCCTATTTGTTGTCGAACTGAAATTAATCTCGGTAACAATTCTGCCTGGTGATGGGAGCCCACGTATGGGTGATACACATCAGGACACCTTCGGGAGCAATGCTGCCTGGACAGGTATCGGTGAAGGTCAGCAGTGGGCAGGTGGGGTGGGAAATTACTTGAGAGAGCATCCCTGAATTTAAATAGAGCTGGCAATTGCAAAACTGTGTTTGTAGAAACCTTCCTTTTTGTGGCCTCACTAATCTGAGGTAGATCAGATTTGAGGCAAGAATCCCAGGCCCTTGACTGTGCCCACAAAGTTTCAGTAAAAATTAGTCACCCCATCTTAATCCCCTTCTCTGTGAGGGCTGTGCCCTTACAGACTCAACCCAGAGTCTAAACCATCCTTCCCCCGAATGCCGCCCATTCCCGAAGGATGGCATCCTGCTTCCCAACCACTTCACAGCTCCATTGCAGGCTCCCTCATGTTCGCTTCTCCCTGCCTCACCAGTGTACCTGCCATATTCCCCCACCAAAATATATAAGAGAAAGCAGTTGCTGTTTTCCCCGCTCTCTGCACCCACAGCTTCCAAATCGCAACTTTCTGCCAGAGAGGCGGAGGCCAGAAGCTGGCAGACAGAGCCCGGCACCTTCTGCCTATCGCCCCCAGCCCCTCTGCCAGCTGCCACCACCCCCAAGATGATCCACAACCCTTCGTGATAATGCCCCACAGGCTGGCTCCTACACCTGAAGGATACAGGCAGCTTTTCCCACATGGAGCTGAATGCATGCGGTGAATATAAAGAGGCCTTATTTTTTGTTGGTTTGGTTTGTTTTTTTTTTTTTTTTTAAGACTTTATTTGTCTAACATGCTTGACCAAAAATTACAACAATCAAGTTATGTCAAAATGATTAAATAACCTTTAAGTTTTCATACCTCAAGTACTTTAAATGATATTTTGAAGTAACAGCTGCTTTCGCATCCTTTCCACATAAAAATACACAGTATTTTGAAGATACCTTAGGAAAAATTATTTTTAAGAGAATACTTTACGGTCGACATAGAAATTTTGTTGAGGCTAATAAAAGGACCTCTTCCCCCCACTTTAACATTTTAGTCTCTTAAGTGCCATGAGCGAATGTAAACATTTCAGACTTCTTTAACATACAGCCAATTTCCTGCCACATTTGTTTCAAACTGCTTGAATTGTGACTAGTTAAGACACTTTTATTCTAACCACCCGCTATTGCTCATCTTCCCAGTGATGGCAGGAGTTCATATTCAACTATGAATTTCTTTCCTTGCTGATTTAGGAGCTGATCCTGCAATTTCTACACCAATAGTTTTAACAAAAGTGGCCCCATCTGAATTCATGTCAGACTGCGCGTGAGCTTGTGAACTATTCACCCAAAAAGCAGTTGCAGGCGCCACTGATCATTTTGGGTTTCTTTTCAGGAAAAAAGCAGCAGATTAGTTTAGACCCCAAGTCACCCAACAGCTTACAAGAAATAACAGACCTGTGACTTGTCATGGTTTTGGGTAGTCTGGTGGTCTGGTTGTTGCTCGTGGGTCCACAGCATGAGTTAGTTACTGGCCTCGAAATGTCACTGCTCTCAGCATCAGTTGTAAGAGCTGCTGCCTATAGGAAGTCAGCAAAATCCAATGTTTCTGCCCACCTCGCTTAGAGTTGAGGATGATATAGCCTGGTTTTGCAACACAGGTATTTTAAATTGTGTATGCATATAACGTACATGCAGCTGCTACATGAAGCTCACATTTACATCCATGTGTCAGGCAAATAGTAACACACACAATTATCCAATGCATGTGTGCAGAGGTGGGCTACGCACAGACCTGCAAACAACCCTGTATTGGTAGTATGATGATCTGCTTGATGTGTGTGAACAAGATCAATGTCTAGTGGCCATCGGCCCCAAATTCAGGATGTCCACATTTAGAATACAACAGTTAAATGATCTCCATCAAGGCAAAAAGGCTTCGCTCTGAGCATGGAGATGTTTGTTTGTTCAAGGCAGAAGCTCATTTCTCGTAGAGGACGTTTGAAGCACTTTTTTTTTTTGGTGGGCTTGTAATCAATTCTCAAGCCTAGGATGGGACTGAAATCCCAGCAGCTTCAGCACCTCTGTTAACCTGCAGGAAAGCTGCATGGGCAGTACCACGACAGCGGCCATCCCAATCAGCTCCTGACACGTCTTTTTGCTTTGCCTGGCATCATCTGCAACATGACAGATGGATTTCAACTCAGTTGATTATTTCGTCTTGGGCCTCTCTCAGCAGTGCCTGTGAGCGGGCAAACACCAATGACGGATTTTGTGAGGCAACCCCTGCTCTGTTCCAATTGGTGTGTACCCATTACTCATCGCACTTAGGCTACTACATAGCTACCCAAAAATGAAGGCCCAAGCTCCACCTTGGGAGGATGACCCCTTCCCCTTGACATCCATAGCGTTCCCCAAGGACAAAAGGATCACAGTGACATTTAATCACTTCTGACTGGAGCCAAATTCAAACCAGTAACCTCATCATTGGCTGCATGTCCCATTAACAGCTTTTAAACAAATAGTCCCCGTGGGTTTTATTTAAAATTCCACTACTTGAACACTGGGTGGGGTTTTTGTAGGGTTGGTTTTTTTTTGCTTTTTACATACAATCACATATTGCCTTTTACCATCTGAAAACACAGTTATACTTTTATTTTTTTTTTAAGGGAAATGTCATCCTTTTTTTCACAGGCAAGGCCAGGTTACAAATTCCTGAGTTTATACTGCACTTAACACAGTCTCCCTTCTTGAATGTTGAGCTGTTTACAGCATGCCAGCAATATGCACCATTTCCCTTACCATCTGTAATGCCAGATGTAGTAAAACTTCATTTTAGTACAGTGAATTAGGGCCTCCGTTGCACTGGTTTTGAATAGATGCAAAGACTAAGACCTGGAGGACTTGAAGTAATAGCTTTCCTCCCATGACTGATCGTTCATGCACCATCTTTTATATTTGCCATGTTAATTAACGGAAAACATCTTTAGCATCGTTTTTCTTGTACCAAGAGTGCACTGGGAAACATCCAAAATGAGGAAATCCTAGTCTAAACACTTAAGTTTAAACTGCAAACTTTTTTTAAAGAAACACTCCTTTGAAAGACATTGTTCTTTTAATAAGTCCAATATAATGTACGGTATATACAGAAGTCCCTACTTGAGATATATATATGTATATGTGTATATATATATATGTGGAATGCATTCACTTTTCTGTGTTCACAAATATTTTAATGGTGAAATGTTAAAGTCTTTAATCTGTTTCTGGCACCAGAACGTCTTTGTTCTTCATCCACTTTTGTCACTCAAATTTATCTGTGAAGAGCTAGCAGGGAAAAAAGAAGAAGGTTTTTGCTTTTTTTGTTGAATGGTTCCCTATTGGGATTCTCAGCCAGCAGTATAAAGCTGCTAATGTGTTGGGAACAACTTTAAATCCTCATTATAATCATGTGTTCCTTGGAGTAGGTAAGTCAATAACTATAGGTGGATTAAGTGGCTGGTAATTCACAGTGCACACAGACGCATTCACGTAGGTAGTTGTTCCATCAGCCATGACACCGTAACCTACAAGGAAAGAAAAACTCTGGTTACTCTCATTATTCATTATTATCTGGTGGTATTTTTAATTATTCACCTTTATCATACAATGATAAGTGCCAGATATATTACTCAGAAGGAACTGAAAAATTCTCTTCACGCAAAACATAAAGGTCTACTGAATAAATACCATCTTTGTCCTACGGCAGAACTTTCTGCCGTCTTTTAAATTGCATAAGAAAATGAAAATGGACGCTCACTATCTAGTGGCTATTATCTCCAGCAGTCAGTTCACCAGACCTCCTTAGACAGATATTTTTCTCTGCAAAGCTTTTTTCTTAAAACCTTCTCAGTTTTGGAAAGGATGAGAAGATACAGCTTAGGCAATTACAGCATTGAAAAAAACATACTTCTGATCACGTAGGTTTGCAGTCATCAGTGCAGTGAACTTTGGGCAACTTTCATCTTTCCACCTTTTTCTCTGTCCTGTGTCATTCATCTTTTAAGCAACCAATGAAGAAAAAGCATTGCTTGACTAAGGGGAGTATGTGTGCATGTGCCCCTCGGTGGGAATTGTCTGGTAGGAACCTCTTCCTCCCATGTGTTTGAACCTGTTAACCAATTTCAACCAAATTTGATGCAAAGACACTAGAATGCCTGCCCATGCAGAGAAAAAATGGCTTTATTAATGCATTCTCTGACAGGCAAGGTGAATTCAAACTCTAAGACACCATAACATTTCCATGGCAGAAAACACCCTTCTGCAATTCTCACCAGCAGCAAAAAGGGTTTAACTACATCTCACATCTGTCTGACTAAGACACTCAAGGCAAACAATTCCAGAGGTAAATCTGAAAAAAAAAAAAAATCAAACTTCCAGCTCTAATGCCTGTAGAAATACAGTGAAATGCTGTTTCAGAAAGTGAAGAAGCCCTTTAACTGCCCCGGTGTTATGAAAAAGTAGACACACTCTCCATTGTCGAAAATCTTTTAGTGAATGATTCCTTCCTAGGAAGGAAAAAGCACAAGCTTGATTACACTAATACTAAAAGCTTAATGTTGGAAACGTGCATTGAAATATTATGATCGATATGAAGAAATGCATTCGCAGTCAGGAAATCATGATTTTGGAGAAACCACCTGGTAGAAAGCATTTATACTAAGATTCAACCTCACCACTGACAAAATTAACAGTGAAATGTATTCATTGCTACATACACTGAGTTCCAGCTGTTCAAATCCCAGGTACCTAGGATCCTACAGTTTCTCTGAGTGCGACTTTGTGTCTTACAGAAGATAGTTGCATAATTTACAAACAAAGAACCAGTAGCCAAATTCCTTTCTTTTTTGTTCCTAAAAATACCCTGAATAATGCAGGGCCTCCTGGACTCCCCATGGAAAAACCACACTATAATGAGGGACTAGGGAGGGAAGAAAACTCTGTCAGGTTCCTGTCACAGACATTTCTTTAAATCATTTGCTGTTTGCCACAGAACAATTGTTCTGTGTAAAACACAAACCGCACAGAGGACAGTCAGCATTGCTGCTGGGACTTTGTCTCCTCAGCTACACACTTGAAGAGAACAGAATCAGCTTGTTAATACGCTCCTTTTGCTGGAAGATTCCTAATACTACAGTTTTCACTCCTCCCCTACTGCCAACAGAGCTTCCTTGGCCATGACCTCAGCCAAGTACTGGCTGTAATGGGCAGATCAGGATTTTAGCCAGAGCCCCTGCTATGCTTGTCACTCTCATGGGTCGATCAGCAGCAAGCCTATGAAGCCGATGGTGTTTTTTGGCAGAGACAGCAGTGCAGAGGGGGAATAGGGAAGAAACATCTCTCTTAAGCATCTCTTCCTCCTGGATGTTCAGTAAATGACTGCTGCAGATGTAGTTATGCTCAGTCAGGGGAAGAACTCATCTGTTCAAGTCATGCATTCTCTCTACAAAGCAGCTTCGTTTGCACAGGCTGTTTGCAATCGGAATTCTCGTCTGCAGAGATTCAGCATCCCACTGCAAAACAGGCCATGCAGTTCTCCATTTGTTTTCTCTAAATTATGAGAGTTAACAGGAAGAATACCTTGTTTCTGTGTTGATACCTACGTGCCAACTGTATTAATTCACAAGATTTACCATTCTGTGGAGGTGCCATTCTTTTCCCTTGGGAGCCAAAGTTGGGCTTAGTCTTAGCAGATGTGATTTTGTTTACTGGCTGAAGCTTCATGGCTTGCTAAGTGTTTGCTTATATCCCCTGCAACCCACTTGCCTTATGATTTTGGAGTTTGAACTGTATTCACCAGCTCTCTTGTCCTGAATCTCCAAGACTGCTCTAATAGAAAAGGGTTAGGAAAAAATACTGCCTATGCGTTATTTGTTTACTCTGTGATGTAACAGCACTTTGGACATGAGCTAGGCATTAACAGATCACTACAGATGAGACACCTCAGGAGAATGGATTGAATCCCTGAGCTGTAAAATAATGATCTGAATGTCTTCTCCATCCATTTTACACCAGCACACCTCTCACCAGTGTCACTCCTAACCTAAGACAGTGAATGTGGCCAGAAGCAAGTCAGGGTGTGATTTCTTGGGAAGGGTAATGGTTCTTCACAAAACCAGAAGTATCTGAGTGCCAGCTACTCCAGCTTTTCTGTTCATTCATTTCTACACTGGTGAGACACACAGGTATCCTTCAAAGGCTGGAGGAGTCCCAGAAGCAGAAAACTGGAAGTTGTGGAACACTTCTCCTGCTAGTAAGTTAACAGTGCCAAGAACTAAGCAGCTGATAATACATGCTTACGTGCCAATGGGGACACTTCTGCACAGCCCAGCGGTTTCTCTTGGTGAGGGCACTGCTCGAAGTCTCACTGCCATGACACGTGAACACGACAGACATGTCTAGAGGGGACCTTTGCCTACCTTTCCCTTTGCCCAGAACTCCTACTGTCACCAACTTCAGTGGAGCACATTTGTCACCATTTACTGACTTAACGTGAAGATAACTACTTTTTTCCCAGTTAAAAATCAAATAGTCAAGAGAACTGCCTTGTTCTGTCTGGGTACAAAATGTTTCCCCTGCCAAAGCAAATAAACAGATGAATAAATATCTTGAACTTCTACACAAGTCAGTGGTGACATCCCTCTTGATTTTAACTTCATATGTGCACTGACAGGGAGAGACAACTTTTACTGTACAATCTTGAAGATCAAGCCTTAGAAGCATGCCCCAAAGCACTCTTACCTCTTTTACAAACACAAACTGAGACACAGAAAGCTTACATGAATTATCTTTAGTCACAGAGATTCAGTAGAGGAAAATACAATCCATCAATCCTAATGTTTAGTCATCTTCTGTAACTACTGGACTTGTGTTCTTATTTTAAAATTCACAGTAATCCTCTCTGTGAAGGAGGAATCACCCTGTTTTATAGATGTAAAAATTGAAAGAGAAGCTGAAGTACAAATACTGAAATGTGGGTATCAGCCAATTTCACCTCTATATATGCAGCTAAATAAGTATCTGAATTCCAGAAGTGATTCAGTTCAGACATTCAAGTTTGAAAATGCTGGTTAAACCAGAGAACTTTGTGATTGTGGTTTTAAAATATATATAAAAGGAAATGTGTTCTGACCTTCATGGATATGTCCAAAAACATGAAGCCTTGGCTGTATTCGTCTCTGGACTGTGTTCAGGAGTTCAACACATCCTACTCGTTGCATTTTCTTAGGAACCCAGTCTAGAAAACCTTTGGAAAAGAAAGGAAAACTTTAAAAGAAGACATGTTATCTGCAAAGTTGTAGTGCTATACAGCATTCCTGAGATTCCATGTCTTGTGTTTTTTCATAACCAGCCATAGAAGAAACTGACATGGAAAAAACAGTGTTTGCCTTGGAAAGTAGAAGAGGAAGGAAAGAAAAATACTTGAGGAAGACCGTAAAAGCTCATCTAGAGGAAAAAGGACTATGATAACCCTTGCCAGTTATTTTTTCAACTAAAAAAATCACTGCATTTAAAGCATTTCTGCACCGCTGTTAATGGGAAAACCAAAAGCTTTATCCATTCTTCTTCAAGAGGCAGAGAACTGAAGAGCAGTATGTCCAAAGTGAGCCTCTGAAGAATCCAAATCAACTTTTAGCTACTTAAATCTAGTCCTGGGATCTACTTCTTAAAACTGAACACTTTAACTGATGTAATGGAATCTGTGTTGCTAATAATAAAACTATATTGTTATCCCATTGAATCATACATTAGTATAACTCAGGTGAGGAACCCACAAGATGCCTAAAAACAGCACCTGCAAGTAAAACTGGCTTAAGCGCTTCATGGCACAGCAAGCCCCACTAGCATACATCTATGGACCTCAGATAAGAAGAGAAACTCAGCCTTCTGCAGTAGATGTTTTCAAGTGCTGTGTTTACTTGTACAAATTTTGTATAAAAATGCATTTTTTATGAATACAGACAAAAAGGCACACCAACTTGCTGATAGGTCTAAAAACATACTGCAGGGGGAAGCTTACTGCCAACTGAAGTCTTGTGATTCCTTCAAAGCAGTAGTATAAGAAGGATGTTGGTGTATTACAGGGTTTGCAATAACCAACCTTGTTTTCTTTCTATCCTTCTCCCATTTTCATCAGGCTCAAATTTGGAAACCTAAAGGATATAATAATTCTGTTTTTCTTCAGTTGTTCTGGTACTTCCCCTGTGTGCCTGTCATAGCTTTGTATCTCTGACTTGGATTGCTGCTATAGTGTGAATATATTGTGCCTTCGAGAAAACGGTAGTCAGACAGAGAGGTATAGAGTCTGGACCTAGTTTTCATACATTTATTTTTGAGGTCCACTCAAGCATGGCTAAATAACAGCTAACCAACTGGCTTAGAAGACCAGTACTGTGGTGGTATTCAAGCTTTTGGAAAAGCCTTGAGATTTTCTAGAGCTTCAGGGTACATTCCCACATTGAGAAATACCTCTTCACATGCCAGTGCTTGAAAACTGGGCTCAGTATACCATGGGATTTTAGAAAAACTGAAAAAATTTGCCCTTGTATCATGGTTACTTAGACAGCTAAGTCCAATTTTCAGAAATTATTTGGGAAGGAAGCATCCTAAGTGCCAAAAAGAGGAAGCTCTGATAATGAACTCCTAATTCATTCACATGCCTCTGAAGACACTGTTTGGCTCCTGTTGGGGTGATATATGAAGAAAAAACCCCACTGAATTACAGATAGAGCAGAGCAATACTCAGTTCTGGTAACTGATTTTACCAGTCACTCTTGGCATCCAACACAGGTCAAAATTCACTGTAGGAAATAATAAGTATTTAAGATGTCAAAGTGAGGCAGCAACTCCACTGGAATCCAGTCATGCTTTTCTCAGAGCAAACGCATTATAACCATAGGTTTTGTTACTTCAATGACTTGAAGCAGTTAATAGCCAAAATGTCTTGTGGTGCACATAAAGCCAAAAGTATTTCCACTTCAAAAACTTCACAAACAAAAATCCATAAAATTAACTTCTCCATTAAATTAAGCATTATTTATGTTGAACATGTTTTTGTTTACATGCATTATCACCCTTCTGAAGCTTTCCCATATGTTTGCAGCTTATTATGTACACCTGACTACACAAACTAAGAATAATTGATTACACTTAGCTAACAATTAGAGTTCATCTTAGGGTTTTTTTAATGTTTGGTTACTTGAAACAGGTTTCTGCAGCTGTCAGGAAAGTATAAATCTTTGTCATAGACAATCAAGCAGACAGCTACAAATGAAGACTTAAAGGAGAAATTAAATTAAACACAAAGAAAAGAAAAGTGAACTTTTTGAAGAGAAATAAAAGAATCATAAATACAGATCTTTAGGAATCAGTGAAAATACTTCAAAAGTTATACTATATATACAAGTAACAAAAATATGCTGATACAGAAATTAGTATTAGCATTTATCCCATAATCATGAATACTATATTTCATAAGCTACAAAATATATGGTTTATCTTTATTAATAATAAACAGGTTACTAATAAAATGGTCAATAATAGCTGTTTGAACCTTTGTTTTCTCATCCTGTGTGAACCTCCTGTCTATCCCTGCCCTGGTTTCATGCCAAAGCACTACTCTAAAACAGAAAAAAATGATTATTCAGATTTTTGTTATGTGCCTAACTGACTTAGAAACACAAAGCCCATTAACTCTTAATGGTGCTTCTGCATCTAAACCATGCAGACAATTTTAAAACTATTTAATATGTGGTATTAATTAGTGTGGGACAATGCACTCTTTTGAAGTGAGGGAATGAGAAAGCACAGCACAGAAAATGGATGATCGACAGAATTTAGGCAGCCATGCTGGAGAAAAAAGAGGAATTTGCAAGAGCACTGGTTGCTATTTATGATCATTAGGAACAGCTCTAGTGATGCTGTCCAAGATCAGAACAACAGTAATCTGCTTTCTGGTTAAAATAATTGGCTGGGAGAGTCAGGGAGTATCCCATCTCTGACAATGTCTGTGGATAGAGCTACACAACAAAGAGGTTCTGTAAGTTAGGTACTGAGTGCTAATTTCTTTTGAAGTGTCATATATTTGCTGCCATGGGTGTCAGGGAGATCAACAGCTGATGCCCTCAGGCAGAGAGTTCTGTGCCTGAGCCATCTATTAGTGCATCAATAAGAAAAAGAGAAAGAAATGGGAACTTTTAAAAAAGAAAATCCTTGGAGGGCATTTGAAGCTTAAGAATTCAAAACAAAGAGAACAAATACTGAGACATGGAGATGGGGGAAATTCATGTTATCCCATTACAGTCAGTGGAGATATGCAGCTCTTCCTCAGGATTACTTTTCAATTATTAAATTTACTACTAAATTTATTATTAAAGCCAGCTCTGAAGTGGTCTCTAGAGATTCTCCTCCCTCCACTGATCCCAAGGCTGCCCGGAGAAGCCTGGTGGCTAGATTAGCAAGGTGGCTGAAGCTGGGTGGTGAGAACCCCTCTCCACCTTTTAACATTGGATTTCAAGTGCTAGATATAGGCATGTTCTTTGGATCAGCTGAAGGTTGGATTTCTTCACAGCTGATCAGCTGGTTTTAAAAATGGCTTTAAAAGTGCTGAAAAAGCTTCTGAAAAAGTTTTAAATATGACTTATAAATAAAACTATAACAAAGACCCAGCAAATGCTTCGGATCTTCACAGGAACTATCCCCAGTACTAACCGTTTGGAGCTGATATCTCAAGGTCTAAAAAATTAATTGCTGCCATCCACTTTTACAATACAGGTCCATACTAAAATCAGTCTATGGCATGGCATGAGACTCCACTTAGGTGAAGTATCAAAACACATGCCCTTACTGTGAGAGAGCGTGCTCACAAAGAAGACCTTTCCCCCAGGATTAGTGAGCAGTGGAATGCAAACATGTCTTTCTAAAGAAAACAACAAAACACAAACCCTTTAGATACTTTCTGTTCCAAGCTCTGAAAGAGGAGAAGAAAGGGTGGAAGACAAGAGGGTTTTAGCTTCAGGAAATTGGCGAATCTAAAGGTTTGAGGCAACCACCTGCCTTTATTTCACACAAAGCACTCCACTGCAGTAAGACTCAGCAGAACACATGCTTCAAGTTCGTGTCAATTTATCAATTTATTAAATTAGTGAGAGTTAAACACAGAATTGCATTAAATATAGCTTGCTATATGTTAAATATGTTGAAAAACATGCTAAAAGCCTTAAGCATTTACTGAATCTGTACAAGTTTCTGTGATTATATTATTTCTGTAACACAGATAATTTCACTATTATCTAGGAATACAAGAAATCTCTCCTGGTTTTTTATCACCTATATTAATATTTGCAAAACACAAATGGAAAGTTATTTCTTGTTAGTCTGTTAGTGTTGCCAGATTGTATTAAAGACAGGCCATTCACCCACACTGTCCAAAGAACAGGCAAACAATGGCAGCATCTGGGTTTGCGACGCAGAAGACGCACCAAGTCAGCACAATGAGGAAAAATAACAGACTCTGGGTACTTGATGGTAAGGGAATGCTACTGCAACTGAAGGAGAAAGACAGTGCTAAAAAAATTAGATCCAAATCCTGCATTTCTCTTCTGCTTTAAATCTATTAATTGCACCAGTGGCAGAGTGGACAGATGCATAGGAAAAGTAGACCTTGCTTATTTATAAAGCTCATTAAGGCTTTGCGTGTTAAGGCTTTATTTTTTAAGCCATTATTTAATTCCCTACCATTGAGCACAGGTAATCATGCAACATAAAACTGAGCTTATGTCCTGGTGCTGCTGAAATCAGCAGGGATGTTACTTTTGACTTTTCTAAGTCAGGATTACACTTTTTGTCTAAGGAGAGCCATTAGTTACTGTATAATCATGTGAAATACACAGCTAAGAGCACTAGTAATTTCTTACCGAGAGGTGGTCCATGTGTTATAAGAATATCTATTCCATCTGGAATAAGGTTCCATTTCTCTAATAGAGCTTGGCCTCGTGGAAGATTAAAGCCCCAGCCATAAAACCAAGGTTGCCTGCCAAGAGAGGAGGAGAATGTCTTCAGTGCTACTTCCATGTACTGGTTACCTAATTAAAAAAATGGAGATTGACTCTCTACTAGCATGGAATTTGGAGACACAAATAGCATTCATTTCTTCTTTCTGTGCACAGTAAAACCATCTTCCCATACTACTAGTGTTATTTAACTTGTGTGGCAAATCAGTGCAGTCCTTACCACTTTCAGTAGGCAGCATACAGTAAAATATTCACAGTATTCCTCTAACTAAGTGAAAAGTTACTCTTACAAGACCTGGATACCAAGATCTCCACGTGTGGATTAGCATGCTGGACTCCCACAACCTCTAGAAGACCTATCTCAGGTACTCAGGTGTGGATATACATTTCACATTGGCTCCTATCATGTTTGCCCCTTAGCCTATGACCAGCTGGGCAAGGACAGATCCTGGCACAACAACAGATCCTGCTCCAAAGCTGGAGACATCATCTATGATGTTTTGTTTCCCTATCTGGAAGCATCCCATCAGAACAAGAATGCTGCTTCTTTTCTTACATATGATTTTCTTCTGTCCTCTGGTGTGTCAACCTGCTTTTAAGTAGACATCCCATATTCAGAACTTCTTATCAGATGAGCATTTACAATTTTTAAAACATATTTATGGAGGACCTCATCATGGAACAGTGGAACTGTAACACTGCCAATCAGAAAACAATCTATCTGTATCTTCCTATCCCATTGATCAAAAAACTACATTTCACAGCAATTATATCACAGTGGTAAATTATGTCTTGCTGACTATGCTCTAATTCTAGGTCATAAAATTGAGAGGTTAGTTTTAGGTTGGAATTTTTTTTTTAATTTTTTGACTGATGTGTTCTGGCCATATCCGTATTTGGAGAACAACATATACGCTGCTCTGATTTAATAAGGTTTATGATAATTGCAGCCTTAGTGTTTATAAATACATACACATCAACCAGAGTTCCCTTTGAGATGTTACTTTGTTGAAGAAAGCTTTACACTCCCCTCATCGCATCAAAAGACAGAAAGAATTCTTTCAAATAAATTCTCTGAACTCTACTTTACATCATGTACAGCAAAAACAAAAGAAAATGCCCATAAAGCTATTATTCGTCCTCTCCCATTGCTGATGCTTGACTAACATTTCAAAAATTAGCACGTCTGCAATCTTCATGATGATATATTTCCCACTTTTCCTTCTGGAATGCTGTATAGCACATGTCTATTGAAAACAGCTCAAAAAATAAGAGCTTGCTAAATTATAAAGGGATGTGGCTTACCCAAGGGAAGAAAATAAAATTCTGCTCCAAGGAAAGGAAGAAGGGTCTTTGCAGAATGTTTCCTGCCTTTCTTCTACAGATACAAAAAGCCTCAACTTTTCTAAACAGATCACTGAAGGGCTTTCTGTGTCCATGGCTAAGAGCTCATCTCCCAGCTCTTCAAACAAAGCCCTGGATAACCAGGGCCTGGATAAACATGTGTCCCAGGGAAAAAAAAAAAAAAAAAAAAAAAAAAAGGGTGAAACTCTGTACATCTGCACTGGGACCAGAAATATATCCCAGCCTCCAGAAGCTGTAGTGAAGGAGGGGAAGGAGCTGTGTGAAGAAGAGATGCCAACAGTGGTAGCAATGGAGCAGAAACTTTGCTCTGAGTCAGGTTGCTCAGACCAGGACATGTGGCTGAGAAAAAAAGACATATCCCTATATCATGGATATGGTATCTCACTTCTGCAGAGACCACTACACTTCAAAACACACTTTTCTGGTTGCCTGTTCATCTCCTAGCAGGCTTTCCTCACAGGAAGAACAGGACCCAGCTCACAGGTACATGACTTCTCACGTTCCTACTGCTGGGGTGGTAACCCATGGTCTAGTTACCGGCTTATTCTGTGGTAAGCTACCAGTGACATTCCTATGTCTGGCAGAACCAAATCACAGTCTGTGGAGTTTGATCAGCCCATCCTTACGTTCAGCTCACCATTAACAAAATGGGAGTATTTTTATCTCACAGGCATGCCCTGAAAATAAATAAACTGAAGTCCGCGAGGTGCTTGGATATTACAGAATCATAGAACAGTTAGGGTTGGAAGGCTTCATAAAAATATACAGAGGTGAGGCTTTTTCTAAACTCTCCATCCGTCCCTGCCTTGGCACTGCGTTCCACACCTTACATGCCAAGTTACCTTTCTTCACCACGACAAAAATATTTAACTGTTCGGCAAATTGTCTTTAGGCCCAGAGGAAGTTTTCCAGTAGCAAAATCTCACCGACAAAAAATATTTGCAAGGGCAAACAGGAGGCAAATGAAGCTTCAGCATAGAGAATCGTGCTTTTAAAGCCACTGACAGATTCAGCGAACACAGGACCCTGCTCCCCACCCATTGCTTGCATCAGTGCCGCTGGGCAGACAGGAGGGTCCCCGGTGGGACGCGAGGCGAGGCACCATCCCTTGCCCCGCAGGCGTGCCAGGAACAGCAGAATGGGCTGTGGCCACTCTGCACCCCGAGAAAGAAACCGAGGGAAAAGATCAATATTTGCCCAAGAAAAAAGGTCAAAAAAACCCCAATGGAATAATTATTTCAAGGATATAATGAAGCTTTTATAAAGAGAAGTAATTGTGACTGCCACAGGTCTCACCAGAAGTCAGCTT